AAGACTTTTCTTTTGAACAGAGCAATATCTTGAGCTATACCGACGACCCTCGATAATTGATAATTATTCGACCTCGATTGAAAGTGCGTAAAAGGGTGGCTATTGCAAGGTACGAGGAAGGATTACGTGTCAAGAGTTATCTCAAACGAGCCGAGGGTTATCGACGTTTATTTATAACGACACGAGTTATTAATAGAATGCGTTCGTTACGATACACACGATAGCTCCACCGACGAAGGTAACGCAAACTTTATATCTGACTTGCTGATGCAGCGGTTTCCGTATCGCGCTGCTTTTGATACGCGGGGACGATTCAGCGATGCAACAGACGAATGTGTGCTTATTCGTACGCGACATTTTATTCGAAGCGAGGATGCCTTCAGAATCAAATTTTAATTGGTCTCTGTGTATCTATAGAAGATAAATAACGCTATTCGTAAACAATTTTAGTCTTATTCCCGCTTATGGTGAGCAGAGGATCTAGCAAAGATAATCGATGAAAATGGCTAAATTTTATCAGGCAAACAAACCAGTAGAAACATGCCTTAATTCGAACGCAATCACTCAGGACTGGAACCGTTCGCATGTCCTACCGTCGAGCAGAAATTGACGAGATTTAAGTTAGGAACCGGTAAAACGTAGCAAGAAAGAGGAACAAAGAAGAGAAGCAGAATGAAAAGGGAAGGTACGCGAGGGCAAGAGCAAGAGGTTGAAGGAAGGAGAGAGAGAAAAAATGAATATATATTAGGTGGGTTGCGCGACGACCTCCGAATAGCTCTCCTAAGCTTGCTTCTCGCTCGCTTGGGCCTCACCTACCTGGCAGTTTTCGTTGTAGGTAAAAGGAGGGAAGATGGTGGAATGGGAGGGAGTAGGTAGAAGCACTAAGGAGACCTTGAAAGCTTGCTAGCCGGGTGCCGGCTAGTACTGACCCACTATAAAGGCACTTGCCGTCCTGCTCGTTCAGCAGGACAATCTAGTATTACCCTCTCCCTCGGGAGAGCCTGCTAACCTACTCTCTTGCCCACATACACTGACTCGATCCAAAAACTCGCTTCTAGAACCCGGCTACGCTTAGCTCGGGAACAGCTTCCGTCTCGCTCCCTCCCTCTAACTCGCTCGTTCTTGTCCCTTTTTCCCCGTTGCTTCGTCCCTTACGGTCCCTCTGTCTTTCCTTCTCTCACTTTGTCGTCCCTCGGGCTTCCCTATCTCGTTTCCACTCCCTCTTTACTGTTCCCTTCTCGTTGCCGTTCTAATACCACCACTGCTACACCCTTCGTATTTGCCGCCATTTCGCTTCCTCTCGCTCGCTCGTTTCCTCCTCTTTTTTCTAGTTTGCTCTTTCTACTCCCTCGTCTGGGAGAGTGTGCGTCGTTCAAACACACGCACCGCAATGTACGACCCCTGGAAATCTGTGTGTGTGTGTGTGTGCGATGGGTAAACCGTGCGCTCGTAGTCCGGCCTGTGCGCGCGCGCGTTCCTCTCTTATGCATGAATTTCACCGGGTGCTTAGAAAGAAGGAGAGAGGCTCGAACGTGTATCGTGTGCAAGTATGCGTGTGTTTGTAGGGAGTACCACCTAGCATAGCAACTGCTGTTTCTGCATTTCTTAGCAGCGCGCCCCATGCGAGATGCCGGTATATTTTAGGCGTATAACGGGTGTCCTGTTCTCGACAGCCATCCCCGCGTTTTTCCGATGCAATTTACCCGCCGTTCCTACCAATAACACGCTGCACGACATCGACTTTCTATCGCGTTGAACCGTTTGTTTATTTGTTTAGAAATAATACTGGTTTGTCTGCTTCATGTAATCCTTGGGTAAATTTAATATTAGCGAGGAATTATTAGTTAAACTTTCCAGACACTTTCGTCACGTCTCAGACTTGAAAATTATTGGTAGACGACGAACTTGACCTTATACAATTATTCTCGCAAAAATTAGTTACACGAGCCTAACTCTACATTTCTCGACCGAATCGAAAATATTAATCGACAAAGTTATGGAACCATTTCCACTAATATATGAACTCCGGTGTTTCTACCCATTAGACGATATCTACTAACGTATTTAATACCTTTCCTCGGTACTAACATTTTTTACTATGTAACGCCAACTGTGTGCCTAAGTTACGACACCGCTCGAGGGTTAACACAGACAAGATTGGTGGATACTCTGGTTTGGGGGGATATACCGACATTAGTTTCCTGTAAATCTTGACGCGTCTACTTTCATTGCAGTTGAAGAGGTACGTTAGAATGTACGGGAAGACGTCCTGGCCCTTCTAAACGCCATAAGCGTGAAATCGAGCGTAAAAGCTCGCGTGGAATATAACGCGACATAAGAATCAAATTAAAACCTCGTCAAGCACTACCTCCCCCCTTTCCCTTTCACACCTTGTTGCGAATTGGCTTTCGCATGAAACCTGTTGTACTCGGCCGGAGCCGTCGTGCATAGGAACACTTACGAATATTACTGCTACAAGGAGAGATGGACCGTTCGAATGGGGAGGAGGGGAGGGACTTGACACGGGACATACTAAGTAGCCATTTAGGTGCTACTTCCTCCTTTTATTGCTTCGGGCTTCTCTTTCGTTTCTTTCGCTTTTCAAGTGGTTACCGAGAGGACACCGCACCGTACCGGCGTCTTCCTCTCTTTCACTTTACGTTTTACACACGTATTTTTTTAATTCATCCGAATTCCCAAACTAGTCCGCCCCGGTAGGTTATATTATACATACCCTTCATTGTACAGAGTGTTCTGCCGCATTTAATAGACTCTTCGCGAACAATTCCGCCACTCGCCACACGCCATTGTACGCACGCGGAGAGATTCTACCCGGTTTGCTCTGAAGCAGGCTTAGCTCGTTCGAAGAGAGAGAGAGAGAGAGAGAGAGAGAGAGAGAGAGAAGAATGGAGAAAAAAAAATGTATACCGCTCCGCGCACGACAAACGCGAAGCGCCGAGATTGTTATCGATGTCCGTCGACGACCTGCGAGCATCGCAAAGCCTGCAATGCCCTGTGTACTTCTAACGCAAACCGACTGTAACTAATTCATATGAACAAGAACCCAGGCCTCCTGCGATGACCGACTTCGAAATAACTTCACGAAACCGAAACGATTTTTGTTCACTCACTAACCTCGAACGATTAATCTACAGGAACAGAAATATCGCTGTAGAGACAGTTTCACGCGCAACCGAACGTTAGGGGCGCCAGGAGTACCACGCGATCCAAATCAATCTTTCCAACTATCGAGTGTGAATCATTTATACACATTTCGGGAGTCCTGACAAGCATCGTTGTATATGATTGATCCTGATTCCTTGATCGAAACTGCATTCAGAAAGTTACGCGATTAATCGATCTGTGAAGTAAGTCGAGAGATATAAGTGATACATTAAGTGGAGAATTCCGAGTTCAAATTTGCCGCGTGCTCGCGGTAATAATATGCTAGCAGCGAAATTATCGCATCCGGTCAAATTGCAGTAAAGCTAGCTGTATGCGGCGTGGAAATCCCGCGCAATTTTTTCATTTCCGTGACTATCGTACGACGCGAAGCTTCGGTGGTTACATATCAAAGATTATTGCGTTAATATTCGCTAAGAAACATTGCGTCGTGAGAGTGTTCGAACCTCTAGGTACGTAAAATGTCATTTTCGTAATACGAGTCTAGTAGTTACGTAGTATGTAATGGTTGTCAAGACCTCTCGCAGTGCCTGTTTTATTTCAGGATACAAGATCGATTTTTATTTTTTCACGTCGGATTCTGTCTCACGAACGATGAAACGAAATCGTTCGTCTCGGATGCCTGGCAAAAATAGTTTCGTCGATTTCTTTTTTGTTCTACAACACGTTCAGGAACTGGTTAGGGAAAATTAGATGTGTCTAACTGGTAGGAGACAACACCTGGCGCCTAGGAAAGGAAATACGTGTTCGCGTGCGCGTGTGTTAGCCCATAGAGACCCTCGGACCGTGTCGAAAAACTCACCAGCACGAAACTGTGACCGTGGATACGTTCTCATAACCTCTTGATCCCGATTAGAATACGAGTAAGGTATGTGATAGCTCTGCGGATCACTGCAGCGATTTTTGCGCCGTTAGACATTGTACATGTGCAAATCAAAACCCGGAAGCAACTGTCATGTTCTTCTCGAGTTGAAACCGGTGTTCGGTTGTACTTTTCCATGGGAAAATCTCCCATCGGTTCGCTCCGGGCCGAGGTCAAAGTTCAACCGAACCGCGGCTTCAAACAGGTTGTCCTCGCTGACCCAATGAACTAATTTCTTTACCCTCTCGGTGCTATGAGAATATTCCAGTTGCACAATTGGCCATAGTTACGTCGCATTGATTTTTTTTTCCTAATCTAGAAAATGCTCGAGAGATAAATTAATATATGTTACATAAATTAAGGTATGGTTTGTACCTTCGTCGTCGAGGTTATGTTTAGGTTAATACAATGTAGCGTCTAGAATAAATTATTTGACAAAGTATTTCAATAATATGTGTAAATATTCATGAACGTTTCTTTATTAGAATAAAGTGAGATCAAACATGTTTGAATAAAAATCAATTATAAATGACTTAGTACAGTAAGTTCTAATTTTCAGATGTTTATACATTTGTATTGTATTCTTACTCGTGTTTTAAGCTGCGCGTTTTATATTATTTATTTTAGACACTGCTTTGTGGTAATTTTGTATATATTGTGGGTGCTGCACCTAGAGTCAAAGAAATGAACACCTACTTTATCGTTGAATCTTTGTGATATTCAAGAATGGAAAAGTCAGGACTTTTTATCATTTAATTTTCATTCTCATTTTATCCTTCGACTATCTTAAACATGAATATTTCTTGTCCAGTTGTGCCTTTATATAGTTTGTACATATTACTTCTGGCCATTATATATACAAATAGCTAGATACACAACTGTCTTATGCATCAAACGATAATTCTTCCTTCGCGAGTGTTGTTTTTACAATAATTTTCTGTTTTCTCGGTTTCAGGATATGCCTATCTCGGATCGTCGCTTGTTGTGGAGCCATCCGTAGCCAGTGGACCGAAAAAACGGTGAGTTCTCGATCCTCCAACTATTATTATCGTTTTTCTCGTGTACAGATTTCGTTTCGCCGCGATTACCTCAACTGCAATCACGATTACAGCTTAGTAAGAGGTTCGTCGGTTACCTCCTCGTCCAGGTTAAGATAACGAACCGTGTTTTGCGCTCGCGCTGCGTTATTTTGCGTGCGAAACGGTTGCTCGTTAAATGAATTAACCACGAAAGTGTCTTGTAGCGTCTCTAATTACAGCATGTCCCGTTACTGAAAATCGTTAACCGCCGCTCATTAACCGATCGTAAATTTGTCGGGCGTCCACCGACAATGACACTTTCTTTAACGCGCACGTTACAAATTAATCGTGTCACCGAAAGTCCGCGCAGTCGCCCCAGAACTTGCTTGTCCTTACGTGCTAATAGTCCATTTGTCTTCGAGAAATTTTATGTAATCGCTTACAGAAAGTTTTTCGAAGGGGTTATTAACCCTGGCCAGCTATTTCTCGATCGAAAGAGAGATCACGCGTAATGCCGGCATAACGAGGTGCATAATTGGCCGCACGCGAGTAAATTGCGCGCGAGCGCGTACACGAGGAGAGCTCGAGCTCATGGCGAACGTGTCCGAGCAAAAATCGTCGAGGATTATCCGCAGTGGAACTCATTCCGCGTCGGCAGAATGTTGAATAGTCTGATCGGCACCCATCAAAGGAACCGTGGGGTTCGTGTCCCGCGTAACAGACATGGCCAATTACTTGGATTGAAGTTCGGTAGAAGTACGGGACGAGGCAACCCCCGAAAACTTCGATATCGATTGTCATGTAAATTTTTGCGCCAAGTTGTTTTCGCCGCGGTCGATTCCACGAGTACGCCAAATAGGGTCGGCCCAGAACGTTTTCTAGTTTTTAGCCAGGGATGGCCGAAATACTTGTCTAGATACAAATTTCGCGTAACGGGTAAAAGAGAAACAACCTTTCTAGCCTTTATTCGGCTCGGGTTTCGACACAACTGTTGCTGACCCGTTCCCTCAGACTTGACCACTGTGTTGTTTTCTTTTCTTCAATTTCAGTATAGATAAATAAAATTTGTTCGATAATAAAGGGGTTTTTCTTAGTATTTAAACGATTGCACCGTGTTTATTCATATACTGCGAGGATTAAATTTCGTCCATTCCTGGCTGTGATTGTGCATGTTGTTCCACGTTTGTGCACGCTAGTTCTTAAATCTATAACTTACATTTACATTAAACTCGCACTGTTTCTTCGCCATGCTCCCACATTTACGGATAAATGGTACGTATTCTCACTGTATATACACAGCACTCTTGCGCGCATCTCGTAATTAATTCTTTAATTCACTTCATGGTTCACGTGTCTGACTCGCACGGAAAATAGAGGGTACGAATATTTACGGGATTCACTGTAAATGAAAAATGTGTCTTCCAAAGAAACTATTTTCACATATATACACCTGGATAGGCTAAATTTCATTTCTATTTCTTCGTTATTGTTCCCTCGTGCTCCTAGTTTATTTTGTCGTAAAGTGGATTAGAGAGATTAATCGCGGCGTATTTAGCTCGAAATTTCTGTCTTCTCTCTCCTTTTTTTCTTTCTTTTTTTTTTTTTTACGGAAACTCGGCACGTTTCATGGTGCCGGTAGAGAAACGTTTGGGAGCCTCTGCACACCGAGGTAGCCTCCTGGACGGTGAGGCAGGCGTTCGAAAAAAAAATGTGGCACCTGCCTTCTCCTTACGAGCCCCGAGCTGAGCCCAGGCTGCTCGCTCGTGCCACAACTGCAATCTGTTATTTCACCATCCCCCGGACTCGCTCCTTCCTATGTTTCTCTTCCCGTTTGCTCATACCACTTGGGCACTTCTTGCCACGAGGAACCTTATCGACGATACGTACGTGCAATCGTATAAACCGTGGATTTGTTGCTGCTCGTAACGATACTCGAACGGAGATAAGAGCAATTAAAGGCAACGTGCACCGAGCGGACAGTTTAACGAGGCGTACCAGTGAGCACTTTTTACGCCAGACACCACCTAGCACTAATAGTTGCAAAACGTTTCATATGGAAACGAAATTAAAACTTCGCCGCGCGATCTTATCGTTGAAATGAAATCTTGACAGCGCTTAAATTATACGCGGGTAGCGGCCGTTGCTGTAAATCATTATTGCCTGAACGAAATAATAAAAACAAAAATGTCTAAGGTCTTTGAGATACGTAGATTCTTTCTGTCTTCCTTCAGTTCTTCGCGTTTCTCAATCAAGTGTTGCACGGTAGGTGATTTCTTGATCGATGAAAAATTAATATTTACCTTTCTCTCTCTATATTTTATTTAGAACGAGTATTAAACCTAGTTACTATTATACTATCACTCATTCAACATCATCAGTCAAGTCGTAATGCGATAGCTGTTACCCCATTAAGATAGAGATAATAAGGTCAGTGCACCTAATTTCGACACCGATTCGGTCATCGACTCTTTCCATTCATTCCATTACCACGATTAGTAAAAATTTAGCACGAAGCATCGTATTTTTGCTGGATTCTGTACTTCGAATTTATGTTTGCAAAACAAAGTGAAACTCGCACGGTAAAAGAAGGTGAATAGGAGGGTCACCCAGATCTTGTAAGATCCCGCAGATATTAACTGGCCCGGTTATTAATATTTACGACTTCATCGAAATTCATTTGGTAAAACCTGCTTAGACTCGTGTGTCCATTAAATTGAAGTGACAAATGCTACCGTTGTTAGAGCGACACCTCTTTCACGATTGCTGGTGAAAAGATTGAACGGGGAGATCGTTATTCGACAATAGACGGACTGACAATTCGACGAGACGAGTATCACTTCCGAGTTGTCTCCTGCACCTTTGGCGAGAACTCGCGTATCAGCTTCCAGCAGCGAGCGTTGCTTAGGCTCCTCGTTTTTGATGTTTAAGGCCGATGCATGGCTAAACATTCATTTCCATATAAGCCGATATGTTTCAAATGTAAAGCACTCTCGTACAGTGGCTACAGTGACATGAAGAAGAAAGGGCGAGATGAGGCGGAGAAAGAGAAAGGACGAGGACGACCGAGAAACGAACTGGTACCGAGGAAGAAACTAGTTTGAGGTCTGGGGGTCTCACCCCTCGTGAATCTTCACAATGATTCCATGGGATCCGCCGCGTTTCTGATTCTATCTTCTTTAACTGGCTCTATCGGCCCTTTTTGTGTTAATTCCGCCACTGTGCGGTGTTACTATGGCGCCGTGAGTGTGAGAACCGAGCGGAAAATTTTTATCGTATGACCCTAATTATATCTCTCGATGCTCTTTCAACCCATCGACCGTTAAATTGTCTTTTAAACATTTTCTACTCGAAAATATTATTTCTCACAATTCTGTAATTTAAATTGAAACGTGCGAGATCGTGGGCACCTTTCGTTGCGTGGTGGATTCCTCGAAAATTCGAAAAGTGCGCACATGCCTTAATACGATAACCGCAAGGGGTGATCTGGTCTCGATGAAAGGTAGTTCACTTTGCGGCGGATCCGTACAATGCAGGCACGTGCATTATACGTTATTCACTTCTTGCGTGCAAAGCCGTGTTGCGGTAAAGCCGGCTCGCGAGGGATGTTACTGTAATCGAATCGTTGCACCGATACGTCTGAATACGATCAATTTTGTAATAAATAAGGTAGTGTTTTCCTTTTTCTCTCCTTACAAGCGAGGAATAATAATTTTCATTTTAACTCGGACTTGGACTAAAATTAGTATGTTAAACTTGAGGATTTAGAGTAGAAGAATAAAAATCGGATTTTTCACAAAACAAGTAAATGTTGAGCATCGTCGAATGGTGTATGAGAATGCGAAAAGTCGTCGCGAGCAAACTTGAAACCAGTAATTTACGTTTCGTCCCCCGGTTCAGGATCATAACCACAAAGTGGGTGAAGCAGTAACAGTACCGACGCCGGTGCCATTCCTTGCAGTTGCACCACACGCGCTTACTGTTTTCCACTTGCATTTACAAGGTTGCACTTTTCTCATTTGCATAACAAGGCCTGTGCACCTAGCGGTGCATATCAGGTCGGTCAGGTTGCACGATAGGAAGGGTGCACGGGGGGTAAGTCAGCTCCCCTGCAGCCGGTGGTTACCCGGGCGGCTTAATGCACTTTGTGTGCATTTCCTGCACTCGAGAGCTGCCGTTCGTCTGTATCACTTATCCCCTCCGATTCATAAACTCGCGCTAACAAATGCGACGACGGAAAGAAAAGCTGGGTACGTACAAGAAGCGGCGTAAGGTCGACTTTCTTTCGATTGCAGTGCACGCTGCCCTTCTCTGCTTGTCCTCGTCCCTTGCTCATTTCTCAAAGCAAATCTCGTTAGAAAATTAGATTAGATCGAATATTTTACACATCATTTGTAATGACAAAATAGAAGAATTATAATTAAATTGTAATCGTTGACGTGGTCGCTAATAATCTCGTAGGGAGAAAGGGAAACGATAGAGTCAACAGTTGTTTTTTATCCGCGACGAAACCATCCCCATGATCGAGTGAAAAGTGACTGGATTAAAAGTGCACTCGTGAGCGGTCGTTTGTCCGTATCACTTGTCCCCTCGGATGCATAAACCCGGCCGGAACAAATGTGGCGAGCGCGTTGCACGGGACGCGGAAGAGAGAAAATAAAAGCTCGGCTACAAGAGATCGCCCCGGAGATGCACATCTTCCTTTCGGTTGCAATGCACTCTCCCTCCCTCTTGCGTTCCGGTGTCGGTTGTCCTCGTCTTTTTCTTTCCCTCTCTCGTTTCTTGGAGTGAATCGTTGCACTCGGCGCGTGCCAACCTCGTGCCCTTCTCCCGGTGGTTGTGCCCCCTCCCTCGCCTTGCATTTAATTCTGCCTCTGCTCGTCCTCCACCCCTTTCGACTCCCCACTTTTCCCCAGACCACCCCACCCAACCCCGTAGCCCCCCTCACCCCCTCACCCCTCCCTCCTCCCTCCTCCCTCCTCCCCGGTTACTCGTGGTGCATC